ACAAAAATGCAAATGCAACATGAGCCTAAAAGAATTTCCATAGATAAAATTCCAATTGTGATGGAAGACAATAAATCACAGATTCAGAGAACCCATCAAAATTCATATATGATTAATAAAAAGATATCCCTAACTATACACATATTGGAGAAACTATAGAACACCAAAGAAAAATATCTTAATACAAATGTGAAAGATTCAATATTTCTTAGATGTCAATTCTCTCCATGTGATCTACAGATTCAGCACAATTCCCACGAAAATCTCTATGGGCTATTTTGTAGAAATTACAAAAGTTGAGTCTAAAATTTACAAAGAAATACAATGCATCTAGATGAGATAAAACAACTCTGAAAAAGAACAAGATGGAAGAACTTCTATCTCATTTCAAGATATAATACAAGGATGATTTGCAGTTTTTTAATTATATCTCAATTTAAAAAATGAAAGAAAAGGGAGGAATAGGTTTGTGGTTATAACATGCTTCCTGTGATTTAGTAAGCCTTAATATGAAAGTGTCTGTTGCACAACCTGAATGGTCAATAAATCAGTTGTGTTAAAAATGTATATATGTATGAATATATATGTACGTGTATATATGTATGAATATATATGTACACATATATATATATATGAATGGCAATAAACACATGAAAAAATGCTCAATATCATTAATCATCAGTGAACTGAAAATGAAAATAAAATGACTACCTCTATTCACCCATTAAAACGGTTTAAATTAAAAAGACTGATAATACTAAGTCTTCGGTGAGGAAGTAGGGCACCTGGAACTCTCATACATTGCTGTTGGTAAAATAAAATGATATAACTACTTTGGAAAAAGTTTGGCAATTCCTTGTAAAAGTAAACATGGACTTATCATACAATCTAACAATTTTACTCCTAGATTTTTACCAAGAAAAATGAAAATATATTTCTACTCAAAAACTTGCACACAAATGTTTATACCAACTTTACTCATAATAAGCAAAAATTAAAAACAACACAAATGTTCAACAATAGGTAAGTGGCTAAACAAATTATTTGGTAGTCATACAATGAAATACTGTTCAGAAATATAAATGAACAAAACAAAAAATATATTTACAAAAAGGAAAAAAGGGAAAGAAAACAAAAAACAACTCAATCAAAATGAATGGAAGAAAGAAGGAAAAATAGAAAAAATAAGATAGTCACAAATAATGAAAACAATAACATTTAAATATGTCAGTAATCACAATTAATATAAATGGATACAGACTTCAATTAAAATATAGAAATTGGCAAAAAATAAAAAATATTCACCTTTCTTCTCTTTAAAGGGGCATACCCAAAACACGAGGACAAGATTTGGAAATAATAAGATGGAAAAGTGAAAAACAAGCGTGTACTAATCAAAAGAATGCTGGTGCTGTTATTTTAATATCAAAAAACCATCATCTCTAATGCAAAAAAAATTAATAGAGATAAAAACTGGATCAGTGCAAAACAATAAGAGATTCAGTTCACCCAGAAGATATAATAATTCTGAACTTGGAGGGCCTAAATATAAATAGCCCTAAAATACACAGAGCAAATATTAACCTAACAAAGAGAAATTGAAGAATTCACCATTATAACGGGATATTTTAACCTGCCTCTCTTGGAAATTAGAGACAAAATAAATCAATAAGTAAATTTATGATTTGAATACCACAATGAACAGTTTGATTAAATGAACATGTATATAACACAACCTTTTAAGCACATATGAAAGTTTTACAAAGTATGGCCTTCCTTGGTCATAAATCAACTGATATTTCAAAGGATTTCTGTTATTCAATTCAAAGGATTTCTGTGGCCAATTCTTTCACCACAACTCTGCTCTAATCAAAGTCAATAACAGAAAACTACCAAAAAAATTTTTATTTTATTTTGAATAAAAATAATTCAGAGGGCATAGACTTATCTTGGAAATCGAGAAGTACTTATAAGTTTTTAAGAAGTACTACATACAAGTACTAGGGTGAAGTACCTAAGGGAGTATTTCAAAGAGATTTTATAACAAATGCTTACATTTGAAAGGAAGAATGCTAAAAATTAATAAGCTAGACATTTAACTTAAGAATTAAAACAAATTTAAAAAGTAGAAGAATAAAATAATGGTAAGAGTAGAAATTAGCGAAATACAAAACAAAGATAAACAGAGAAGAACTAAGCCAAAATACAGTTCACTAAAAAAGAGGGAGGGATGGAGGGATGGAGGGATGGAAGGGAGACGAGCAGAGAGAGCATCAAGAGAGAGCAAGCATGCAACCAAGGGCAAGAGAGTGCTCCAGCCAAAGGAGAAGGGCCCTCATAAGTCACACCGGGAGTCAAAATGAGACATTACCACCACCAGTGGAATGATTCGACATACAATAATAGGACATTATATGTTACGCTTTGAAAATATTCTTAAAAAATATATGATATGGAAAAAATCCTTTTCAAAGTACTAAAACTGACTCCAGAAGAAATGGAAAAAATCTTAATAGCTGTGCATTGATTAAATATGTTTAAACATTAATTAAAATTTTTCCAACAAAGAAAGCAAGAGCTCCAGATACCTTTACAACCTAAGTCCAATTCTAAAGAAGCTCTTCCAGACAATAGAAAAAGCAGGAACATTAGTCCCAAGCCCATTTTACGAGTTTAGCAGAAACTAATTTGATACTAAAAGGAAACATTTCAAGAAAAAAACATTACAAGACCTACTGAGTCATAAAGCTAATAGCATTCTTTGTATACTCAGAAAGCCACTTTCTAATTTATAATTCACTCACAGATATGCATATTTGTTTAATTGAAATGGAATATTTTTTCCCACTTAAAATAAATCCATTTATGTCTTCATTTGTTTATATCCTTTGTCAGTCTGTTTATATTTAGATTGCCAGAGTCAGTTGCCCTGAGGCTCATCAGCCCCCAATACAATGATAAATATGAGATTTTGAACTTCTAAATATGAGGCTTAGAGTTTTATTTTCCCATATTTTTAGTCTAACATCCAAATTTCCTAGTTAATATGGAGGACCCTTTAAGGTCTGTGCCCAGCCTTCCTCCCAGTCTTATTGTCTATCATTCCCTTATGTGAGCCTTAACTACAGTGACTTTATTTCACTGTATCTTCCCTTCACTGTATCATATTTATCTCTAAACATGCTCCCCTTACTGAAACGGCATTTACATGAGAGTATTCTCCTTGCTTTCTACTCGCTGAATGATTTTCACCATCCACTTCATGTTCCACTTTCTCCATGAGGCTTTTTACAACTTTCTGAATCTTTTCCAAATTTCCACAGTAACGAATGTTTGTATAACTCATTTGGTCCTTTATGCGTATTTGTGTGTACAGTAGGTAGAGCACTGAAATACATAAGCCCTGAGTCCTTTGTAAATTGTTATCAGGACCATTAAGGAATAAAATGTGCTCCACCATAAGCACTTTTTTTGTGGTAAAAAACACACAACATAAAATTTACTATCTTAACCACGTTTAAGTGTACAGTTCAGTAGTGTCAAGTGTATTCACATTGTTGTGAAACTGATCTGCAGAACTTTTTCATCTTGTGAATCTGAAACTCTATACCCATGAAATATCTTCTTTCCCCCTGCCCCAGGCCCTAGCAATTACCATTCCACTCTGTTTCCATGAACTTGACCACTATAGACACCTCATAGAAGTGGAATTACACAGTATTTGTCCCTCTGCGACTGGCTTACTTCATCAAGCACAATATCCTAAAGGTTCATCCATGCTGCAGCATGTGACAAGATTTCACTATACGCACTTTTGTAATGTATCTAGTTTCCACTTCTTTGGAATGATCACTTTCTTAGATATTTTCATTTTTTCACTAATATTTTTATCACTAATTATGGACTTTCATTTATTTATTTGCTTGCATTTATGTTGGATGAGCATTGCTCCCAAATATTTTTATTGATCTGTTGAATACTATTGACAACAAGAAATAATTACAACAAAGACATGGTGCGCTGCAGATATCTGAAGTAGGAGGAGAATAGTAGTGATTTATGCTGATTTTTATTTTACTCATTTGTTAAGTAGTTTCTCGTGTACCTACTCGTCAGTGTACACCACTAACATTTATGCCCCAGTCAAATTACCAGTTATTTCATGTCATGTAGCTCTGTGTTCACTTATGAATACCGGAAAATACTTCATGTTTAAATCCATGAGCACCAAGAATTTGCTTTGTCTAAATAGTGCAAAATCTCCTTCCTTTTATCTTAGTATCCTTGCCGTGTCTAGCCCAGTGATATTTATCAAGTAGGTGCTTAATAAATATCTATATGAGGTCTATATTTCTACTATGAAAATGATGTTGAACCCGACAAAAATTATTGCAATAAGAAGTAAATATCCTGCAGAAAGCAGAGAAGATATAATTATGCATATGGATATCTTTCTGTTTCTAAGCCATGTCCATCTTCCCAAAGGCTGTGGGAGTTGCTGTTCCTGCTGTGCCTTGAGAGATCTGTATGATTTGCTCCCTTTTGTTATGTAGGTATCAGCTTAGATATCACTAATCAGAGGGGAATTACTTGACCACTCAATCTAATAACATTGGCCCTTCCTGCAGTTAACTTTTATCCATCGATTTTGTTTGTTTGTTTTCCTTCTAAGATTTGTTATCATATGAAACTATGTTTTTCATTTATTGTTTACTATCTGTTTCTCCTCTCTAGAAGATAAGCTTCACAAAAACAGAGTCCTATTGTTGCTCTATTTCTAATACCAGGCACCATTTAGATACTCAATAAATAGTTGCTCAATTAATAAATAACTATATATAATATTAATTATAATATTACATTTTAAGGGATAAGACAGAGAAATTATAGTAAAATGAGGAAAGTAATTATATATGTACACATATAAATACATACTACACACACACACACACACATATATACACATACATATATGTACACACAACATTTCTACTATTTACCTTTCCGAAAATGCTTAATCTTTTGGAATCAATGTATGGCTGTTTCAGTAGAAATCTGCAATGAGAAAAAAATATACACTTATATCTTTTTGAGTCAAATGCACATGGAATTCATTCTTGGCACCAGAGTAACCAGAAATCAGACTAGAAATACTTCATTGGTTTCAGCTCTTTTCACGTAGAAAGGTCACGTGTCACCAAATCTTGCTAGTCAAAGTGAGAGTCCAGTAGTTTGAGTATTACCTGGTAGCTTCATACAAATGCAGAATCGTGGGCCTCATTCCAGGCCTCCTGAATCAACATCTACATTTTAACACTATCCTAGCCAATTTCTATGCACTGTTTTAAAGAACTGAATAGCTTTCTAAGGTCATTCTTTCATGGCAGTGTGGTAATGGTATCTGTGAAGCTCAAGAACTGTTAATTAACTAGGGAAATAATAGAATTGTGGATTATTGTAAATAAATAATGCAGTGGTATAATCAAGGTCTCTGTCATTTTCATAAATCCAAAGTGAATTCCAGTTCCACAGAGGACGTAAAATAATTCTTTTATTATGGCACTAAGAGAAAAAGGTACTTGAAAAAAAATGCAACAGACTATATGATTAACTTAGAAAATTGTCCAATCCCTAAAATACAAATCTCTGAGTCAGCATTGAGTAGTAGTATATATCATACACCTAGCTTCTGTCATTATAGGAAAAACAATAGGAAAATGTGCTCCCACTTACTTCACAGCTGCTATTTGGTCCTTTACTTCCACTGAACCTAACCTTCGATGAATTTCCTGCAAAATTTTCAGGCCCTGGAATCCGCTTCCTCTACCATCAAATCGTGCTAGGATGACATTATCTGTGTCGACAAGTACTGAATCCCAGTCAATATGGAATTTATCTGTAACAAGCTGGCCTCCTGGTTCTTCATCCCTGCAAATACCAACACGTTGGACCAAAACAAGAGCATTGACAATCCGGTAGAAATTTTAGCTTTCACACTTATTAGTTAATAAAATATATAGAAAAGATCTATGTTGGCTAATACAATTTCCGTTAATTCTTGATGATAACCTGAAACTTTAAATGCCATTTTTCTTTGTAGAATTTTAAATGACAATTTCTCTGAATTAAATGAAAATATGAAACAAGATTTAAAACTGTGCATGAGAGATTAAGTTAACTCATTTTTCAAAAGGGAAACATGAAGAAAAATGCATGCATTTTCCATAGGTATTTCTAAAGAATGACTGTCAAGTTGACACACAGGCTCATTTCTATTGGATTTCTTCCAGACAGTGTGTTTTAGAAATGTCTTGCATATGGTATACAAGGGCTAAAGGATCTGATAGAAAGCAGAATCAGTTATGGAGTCTTAGTAATAATTTATCAAGAAATGTACAATACTAAAGAATGTCAGACTCAACAAGAAAAACTGCATTAATATTTCCTGAATTGTTTTTTGGGGGATGGAATTCTCGCTGAAGGGAATTTAAGCAAATAGTGAAGAAACATTCTTTTTCATCACTAAAGCTGACAGCAAGAAAAGGAAGCAGAAACACATATGTTTGAAAAATTTGAAAGCTAGAAGTAAAGGACACACAAATTATAAAGCCTGAATATTCTCTCTAGAGGGAAAAGGTGATACAATTTTCAAATGTCAGATTTCCATGGCATTTATTATTTTATTTTCCAGAATATAGAAAAGGTAAAAAAGTTGACTCATAAGTCACACAGATTAGCTAGGTCCACACCTAGGTATATAGGTATAGTTCAAACATGCAGCTGTCCATGTGACAGACTTGAAGAGCATCAACACATCTCACACTCTGAAAAGATCTCCATTTTTATTTAGCCTACCTACCAGAAATCTTGACCTTACTCACTCTCCTGTAAAGACACTAAACTCTCTTGCGTTCATGTTTATCCAAATGTGTTACCTAGAAGCACCAATAAACAAACTCATCCACATTAACAAGCTTTTAGGTTCTCAGATTTGCTAAAGAAAATGACTTCTGGGAAGCAAATGGAACTGAGCAGATACAGGTGTTGAGAGGGGTCAGTGAGTCAGATAAAGGAGGAAGTAGGTAATAGGGCAAGACTTGAGACAACTGAAATGTATTGAATGCTGTTATGGGCTGAATTCTGTCTCCAAAATTCATGTGCTGAATCTCTAACGTCCAGCACTTCAGAATGTGCCTGTATTTAGAGAGAGGGCCTTTACAGTGGTGAGGAAGTTCAAATGAGGCCATTAGGGTAGGCCCTAATCCAATCTGACTGGAGTCCTTACAAGAAGAGGAAATTAGGACACACAGAGAGACTCCAGGAGCATGCATGCAGAGGAAAGACATTGTGAATAGGCAGCAACTGCAAGCTAAGGAGAGAAGGCTCAGCAGAAGCCAAACCTGCTGATACCTTGATCTTGGGCTTCTGGCCTTCAGAACTGTGAAAAAATAAATTTCTGTTGTTTAAGATACCCAGTCTATGGTATTGTGTTATGTCAGCCCTAGTAAACTAATACAAATGCCTTCTGTGGTCTAAGCACTTAAAATCTATTATCTTATTTACTACCAAATTCATTTAACCCTTTTGGGGAGGAATCTGTCTGTTGCGTGGCTTATTACATCTATTATTATTCCTACATCATAAATAGAGAAACTATGCCATGAAAGTGTTTTAATCATGACTCCTCTCCATGCCCTCCTAAATCACACATTTAATGGTGATCCTGTGATCCAGATCCAAATCTGCTTTGTTCTTCCAACATGTTTGCAATCTTAGATCTTTTTTTAATTTTATTTTTTAATTTATTTTAGTTTTTGCAACCTTAGGTCTTGATCAGATTATTGAGAATTGTTACTACACATATCCACGTGTCTAACCTAGAATTCTAATTGCCTAGTCCAGAATGACGTCTGGAATTGCTAGTTTTGTCCAGTTTTTCAGGTGATACAGATATAAATTGTCTAGCATTTGAGAAATAGCATTATGCCTAGCACTGTTTCTGGTGCATGGAGAGCACAGCAAATGCTTGTTGAACTAGACCATTTCAGAGAAAGTAGGCCCAGGTGATGTTTGAAATGGAAAGACCTTAAAAAGCCTTGAGTTTAAATAGAGACACTATTTTGAAGCTTGGGGATTTATTGCAAATATTAGAAAGCAAAACATGATGCATAGAGGATGAGCTACAAGGATTGACTTCATCCTTTAAGCTGAGTAAAAACATGACAGTTTGAGTCCCAACTTCACTACGAACATAGGCAAGATACTAAAACACTAAGATGCAGTTTCCCTATCTTTAATAATAGTAAAATACTGCTTGTATCCCTCAAAGAATTTTGTAAGCATTAAATGGCATAATGTATTTGAAAATACTGTATGAAATGTAGTAAGCGGTATAAAACCACTGTTAGATTCATCAAACAACAGAAACTGTTATTACTCTTTTTGTTTGAAACTACTTTTGCTTATATTCAGCATATTTCCTTAGAGTTCAAAATTGAGAATTATATAAAGGATTCTGGCCAGTTGTGCAGAAATTAAACTGGGAAATATTTATGGATAAAGGTATTATGCCATGTCATATGACCTGTTATATCAGGAGGACTTCCATTTTCTAGATGGACCAATGATTTGTAAAGCCTGACAAGAAAATAAAAAAGTGCAATCAGCGGATGCTTTGGAGCGATTATCAGAGTGTTGTTAATTATTCAGGCAGAATTTTCCAACTTGAAACACTGGCAGCAGCTCTAAGGTAAGTAAGATTTTAAAATGTTTTGTTAATTGGAAGGTATAATTTTCCAACTTACATACGACCCATTGCATTGTTCACAGCTATTTTAGGAGTTCACAGCTAAGTGAAGTTTAGACAAAATGTAAATAAGTCACAGACATTTTAAGGCAGGCAAATAAATTATTTTAAATTATAGTTTAAAAAAAGGCACATTTTTCAAACTTAAGATTAATAAGTGGTTACAGATTTTTCAAAACAAAAACCTTCAATCCTTTACTCATGCTTGCAATACCCAGGAGAAAAAACACAATTTCACTTCTCTGCTCTTTTCTCTTAAATTACCATTTTTAACATAGCCTTTACAAGGTTTCAATATTAGAACATAAAATATCAGTACAATATTAGCCAATAATTTTAACACATTTCTCCGTCTAGCTGGGTGTTTTGTTATTTCTTTTTTGGTGCATAATACAGGAATATCTATTTCAAGATGAGTTATAAAAGAACACGGATTATGATGGTAAGCATTGCTATTATAAGCGACAAGCCAGACACTTGCAGGAGCAGGGAGGAGATTCTTCACAAACTGTGGAGCAGAAAATAGTAGATTTTTTTCCTGCAAATAAAGGAAAGAATAGGCTACTTATTAGGTGAGGTAGGAATAGCAAGACACTTGGTGGTAGAGAGGACAACAAGGAATATACCATACACCAAATCATCCACCATAGAATAAGTGGGCCCCAAGACTCGTGTGAATACTGGCTGTGCAGAATTCATGAGGTCCAATTCATTTGGTTCCTTTTCGCTTTTCTGAGTGTCTTCCCTATCTTTTTTCCTACACTGTTTTGCTTTACTCTCTCTGTCTCAGAAATCTCTGGGGATCCATAAACAAAAGGATGTTTCAAGGTTCAGAATAGGGACACACAATTTTGTTGAAAGTTGTGGTGAAAGGAACAATTCCATCTGTTTTAAGCAGTGGAAAAGTCAGCAATATGAATTTTGTCTATTTCCTAACACAGGCAGTGAAATCAAACTAAGACTGTAAACTTTTCTTAGAAGTTCCAGTCTTTGAGGGAAGAATCCTCATCTGTTCCAATACCTTCAACACTGAACATGTCTATATGGATGAAGAGTTCAGGATATGAGTGTATAATAAAACAGAGAAAGAGATGAGTAAAACGCACAATATCCCTTAGATCTTTAAAATGACAAAACAAACCACCTTTTTATGACATAGCAAAACATCTATACCGAAACCGAGTTAAAACAAAGAGATTTATTCAGACTTCTTGTTTGGTCAGGTTCACAAAGTGGTATTTAATTTCATGAAAAGAAGGTTGAATTCATGTTCAGACGACGGTCCTGATTTTGTTATTAACATGCTGAGTTCCTTTGAGCAATTATATGCTCTTTTTATCTTCATTTATTTTTTTCATTATTAAATAAGATTTTGTAAATAGTTAAGATCATGTACATATAGTACATTTTTAAAAGCCCTTTTCCTTACCAGTAAAGTTTTGATTACAATAAATGGAAGGAAAACACTTTCTAATGAGAGCACTTTCCATGACTGATCTATTGCATGGCATAATTTTTTTTTCCTACATGGTAGAATTTAAAAACTGCTATATATCTGTGTACATTGAAGTGTGGAAGGAGGGGACATAGAGAGAATTGGTTATATTCATCTTAATTCTTTGCTCTTTCTTGGCCTAGAATAGATCAACTTTAGCTGCATGAGTGCTAGAAGAGAGCTAGAATCAATTTAGAACCAGGTGTTGCAATTTTATTTTGGATGTAATAAACTAAAAAAAAGTATGAAAGGAAGGGTGAAGAACAGAATGGAAGGCAAGATAAGGGAAAGGAAGCTGATGCTGCAAAGAGCCATGTCACCCTAAATTCTTAAGGAAAATCAATTGTCAATGCTTCTGATTTTGTTCTCTTGGAGAGAATTCATTTCATGATAGAATATGAGTTTGACATAGGATGGTAGCTTTAAACAATATTCGTCTTGCCTGAATCTGAAACTTACTTTGTAGAAATTTACAGTCAGTGATGATTTAGTTGTAACATATGTACATCTAAGCTTTAATGAAGCTTGCCCTCTTTCAAGCAGTATATACATACAGTTACATATGTTGGCTAAGGGCCTCAGGCAAATTGCTTCTATTTCTCATTGTATCATCCTTCGATTTCTTCT